CCAGCTCTGTGGCCGCCACCATCTTGGTTGGGTTTATTTGCATACTCACTCCTGATTGGCTGGTGGGCGTGGCTTGTGATTGTAGCAGAGGTATGGTCAATTTGCATGTTTCTCTTTTATTAGATAAGACTAGGGGCCCAGTGCACAAAATTCGTGCACTGGGGGGGAGTGTCCCTCAGCCCAGCCTGCCCCCTCTCACATACTGGGAGCCCTCAGGGGATGTCCTATTGACAGCTTAGGCCCACTCCCCAAGGGATCAGCCCTCCTAAGCTGTCCCGCTCCCTGCTCCCCTTGGGGAGTGGGCCTAAGCCACAGTCTGGCCTCCCTTTGTGGGAGGTGACCAGGCTGATCAGGGGAAGGAACCAGCCCTATAACCCGGCTGCTGCAGCCACTGCCAGTCACCGCAGCCAGCAAGGTTTTTTCATCAACACGGACTCCAGTCCTGTCACCATGAAAAAAATGACAACTTTTTTTAGGCATTTTCAAGATGTGTCTTTCATATAATAATAATTTCTTTATTATTTTTTTATCCTCACCTGAGGATGTTTCCATTAATTTTTAGAGAATGTGAAAGAGAAAGGGAAAGACAGAGAGAAACATCAAAGTGAGAGGAACACTTTGATTGGTTGCCTCCTGCATGAGCCCTCACCTGGGCCCCAGACAGGGAGGAGCCTGCAACCTAGGTACATGCCCTTGGTCAGAATTGAACCCAGACCCTGCCATCGGCAGGCCAAGGCATTATCCACTGAGCCAAAGTGGCTAGGGAAGGATATGACATTTCTTAGCCCTCCAGCAGTGGACCTTCGTTTTTTTCACCAGGAGTGTGGTAAAAAACCCTAGATCACCGTTTTGGATTCTTATTACCCAAATTACTAAGCATATTACCAGTGGCATACAGGGAGCTTAACCAATGAGCGGTCAGAAAAGGTGCTTCCTCTAGTTCACACCAATCTGTGGCTTGGCACCCCACCCACCCCCACCCCAGGCTTGACGCCTCTGGCCCAGGCTTCAGGCCTGGGCAGGAGAAACCCATCTCCCCTGATCACGGGCTCCACCCTTGCCCAGGCCTGACGCGTTGGCCAGAGGCGTCGACCCCCATCACCCTCCGATTGCCAGATTGGCCCCTTGCCCAGGCCTGATGCCTCCGCCAGAGGTGTAAGGCCTGGGCAAGGGACCCCCATCTCCCTCCCATAGCTGGCTCTGCCCCCCGCCCAGGCCTGATGCCTCGGACAGAGGTGTCGACGATCGCCTGATCGGCCCCTTGCCCAGGCCTGATGCCTCCGCAGAGGTGTCAGGCCTGGGCAGGGGACTCCCATCTCCTGCTGATCACTTGCTCCACCCCCCGCCCAAGCCTGACGCCTCTGACCCAGGCTTCAGGCTTGGGGAGGGGAACCTCATATCCCCCCAATCACCGGCTCTGCCCCCCACCCAGGCCTGATGCCTCTGGCCCAGGCATCAGGCCTGGGCAGGGGACCCCCAGCCCCCTTCGATTGCTCGCTCCGCCCTCTGCCCAGGCCTGATGCCTCGGCCAGAGGAGTTGACCCTCATCACCCTCCAATCGCCGGATAGGCCCCTTGCCCAGGCCTGAGGCCTCCGGCAGAGGTGTCAGGCCTGGGCAGGGGACCCCCAGCTCCCACCATCCCCGGCTCCATCCCTGCTACCCAGGATCTCTGGCACCGCCCCTGCCAAGACCTAAGGCCTCTGGTGGAGGCATTAGTCCTGGGCAGGAGACCCCCAGCTGCTCATGATTGCTGACTCCGCCCCTGCCCAAGCCTAACGCCTCTGGCCAAGGCCTTAAGCCTGGGCAGGGGACCCCCAGCTCCCCGCAGTTGCAGGCTCCGCCCCTGCCCAGGCCTAACGCCTCTGGCCAAGGTATTAGGCCTGGGCAGGGGACCCCCAGCTCCCCACAATCTCCCGCTCTGCCCCCTGCCTAGACCTAATGCCTCTGACTGAGGCCTTAGGCCTGGGCAGGGGACCCCCAGCTGCCCAGGATCGCTGACTCTGCCTCTGCTCCATGCAATGGCTGGTTCCGCCCCTTCCCAGGCCTAACGCCTCTGGCTGAGGCATTAGGCCTGGGCAGGGGACCCCCAGCTCCCTACGATCGCTGACTCTGCCCCTGCCTAGACCTAATGCCTCTGGCCGAGGCCTTAGGCCTGGGCAGGGGACCCCCAGCTCCCGTGGTTGCAGGCTCTGCCCCTGCCTAGACCTAATGCCTCTGACCCAGGCCTTAGGCCTGGGCAGGGGACCCCCAGCTCCCAGCAATTGCAGGCTCCGCCCCTGCCCAGGCCTAATGTCTCTGGCCAAGGCATTAGGCCTGGGCAGGGGACCCCCAGCTCCCCACGATCTCCCACTCTGCCCCTGCCTAGACCTAATGCCTCTGACTGTGGCCTTAGGCCTGGGCAGGGGACCCCCAGCTGCCCAGGATCACTGACTCCGCCCCTGCTCCCTGCCCAGACCTAACGCCTCTGGCCAAGGCTTTAGGCCTGGGCAAGGGACCCCTAGCTCCCCAGACTGCCGGCTCCGCCCCTGCCCAGCTCCCATTGCTGGCTCCACCCCTGCTTCCCGCTATCACTGGCGGGGCGGCAAAGGCGCCGGGTTCTCTGCCCCCGGCTCTTAGCTCCCCCCTGGGTTTCCGATCACCATCAGTGGCAGGGGCCTTCTTCCGTCCTTTCCCTTTCACCTCCCAGCATTGTGCCTACATATGCAAATTAACCGCCATCTTAGTTGGCAGTTAATTTGCATATCTTGCTGATTAGCCAATGGGAAGGGTAGCGGTTGTACGGCTAATTACCATGTTTCTCTTTTATTAGATAGGATATTTTTATTGATTTCAGAGAGGAAGGGAGAGGGAGAGAAAGATAGAAACATGAATGATGAGAGAGAATCACTGATTGGCTGCCTCCTGCATGCCCCCTACTGGGGATTGAACCTGAAACCTGGGCATGTGCTCTTGCCAGGAATTGAACCTGAGACCCTTCAGTCCTCAGGCCGACACTCTATCCACTGAGCCAAACCAGCTAGGGCACAAGTACCTTTTGACTGCAGCCAAATGTTTTCAAAGGATGGAAATAGAGTGAGGTCCAGCATGAGAAATGTGACAAACCTTCCAGGGGGTGCTTAGAAAGACTGAAGTTTAAGAATCACTGCTCAACACAATACTGACTTTTTAATTTTTTTCTTTTTCAACTTTACCTACAAAATTACACATCCTGGGTATGTTTCTTCTTCCTGTCATGTGTGTTTTCAGTGGTCTCACTTAAAGTATTTTAAGTTCTTTTTAAATTTTTTTAAATTCTACTTTTAAAATAAATATACAATAAAATTTAGTTTTTGTTTGTGTATACACTTCTATGAATCTTAACACATGTGTCTACTCATGTAACCAGCACTACAGTCAGGACACAAAACACTTCCATCACCCCAGGAAATGCACCTCAGTTACACTCTGGTAGGGAACTCTTCCCCCACCCCAATCCTTGGTGACCCGTTAACTGTCAGGGAAGTTTTGAGAGTTTCAGATGTTATGTAAATGGAATCAGAGAGTATGTGACCTTTGAAACAGATTCCTTTCACTCATCATCCCTTGAGACCCATCTATGTTTTTGCACATCTTCATGGTCCATTCCTTTTATTACTGAGCAGAATTCCATTGTGTGGATAGACTGTCATTTGTTTGGCTTGTTCACCTGTTGGAGAGCATTTGGCTGTTTCCAGTTTTTGGCAATTATGATAGAACTGCTGTAAACATCCATGTACAGGTTTTGGATGTTTTGTTTTATATGGGTTCTTACGTTTTGTTTTTTTAAATATGGTTTTATCTTTACAAAGGATATTTTTTATTGATTTTAGAGAGAGAGGAAGAGGGGAGAGAGAGAGAAACATCAATCGGTTGCTTCCCCTGCACACCTGACCAGGAATCAAACCTGCAACCTAGGTATGTGCCCTGACTGTGAATCAAACCCAGAACTTTTTGGTGTATGGGATGACTCTCCAACCAACTGAGGCATCTGGCCAGGGCAGTAAAGATACATTTTTATGTGTCTAGAGCAGAGGTTCTCAACCTGTGGGTCGCGACCCCTTTGGGAGTCAAATAATCCTTTCACAGGGGTCGCCTAAGACCATCGGAAAACACATATATAGTTACATATTGTTTTTGTGATTAATCACTATGTTTTAATTATGTTCAATTTGTAACAATGAAATTGGGGGTCACCACAACATGAGGAACTGTATTAAAGGGTAGCGGCATTAGGAAGGTTGAGAACCACTGGTCTAGGGTAATAACCTAGGAGAAGGATAACTGAATCAGCTAGTAGGTGCATCTTTAACTTGATGAGAAACTGCCATCTGCTTGCAGAAGGGCTGTGCCATTGCAGTCCCCACCACCAGTGGGGAATGTGCTGGCTGCTTCATATTTTCACCAATAGTTAGGATTGTCAGTATTTTTAAAATTTCAATCATGCTAATAAGTATATAGAAAGAAGTATCCATCATGGTTTAAGTTGAAATTCCCTAACACTAATGAAGTTGAACATCTTACTATTTGCTTCTTTGCCATGTATGTAACTGCTTTGGTGAAGTGTCTGTTCAAGTCTTTTGCTTGCTTTAGAAGTTGAATTATTTGTTCTCTTAATGTTGAGTTGGTTGGAGAGGTGATCTATAAACATTTTCTCCCAGTCTATAGTTTGTCTTTTTATTATTTGAACAGTATCTTTCCCAGAGCAAGGTATTTATTCTGATAAAGCCCAATTTATCAATGTCTTTCCTGTGATGGGTCATGAAGATTTTCCCTTATTTTTCTTCTAAGTTTTATAATTTTATATTAAAATCTATGATTTAGTTTGAGTTAATTTTAGTACAAGATATGAGTTAGATCAGGGCTTATCTTCTTGCATATGAATTCACATGGTGGCCTGTAGTTTTATTTTTTCTACTCTCTTTGGTTTCAGTATTAGGATAAATGAGTTGGGAAGTGTGCCCTTCACTTCCATTTTCTGGAGAAAAAAAAAAATGCATAGAATTGCCATCATTTAATCATTAAGCATTGGTAGAATATTTCAGTGAAACCATCTGAATCTGCATATGTCCTTTAAAAGTTTTAAAATATGAATTCCAGATCTTGAAGGGCACAGCTGCTGTGAATAAGAGATCAGCCTCACCACCACCCAGACTGGCCTCAGACGCAACCCGGGACCCTACAGTCACTCCAGCCAAAGACCTGCTACCACAGCTGCAGACCAACAGACACTGGGACTCCAGCCTTTCTGGCCACAGGCTTCTGCAAGTCCCGGGCGTGTTCCCCTCCTAGGAAAAAAAATTGGGGGGGGGTTTAGAAGATTTTATTTCCCACATTTCTTTCTTTCTGAGAAAATATGAAATCTTGCATATAAGAGATCTTAAAAACAGAAACAGAAAAACCCCTACAGTAATGAGTACTCACAAAAGGGTAGACTGGGATATTGGCCTTAGGATCTTATCTCACACTAACCCAGCAGAGCAAATGAGTTCTGAGTGGCACAAAGCCCAAACAGCAGAGACAGGGAATTCCCTATGTTCATAAAATGGTGAAGAGCAAACTAAGTCCCCCAAAGATAAGAAAGCAAGCAAGGAACATCAGTAACCAAGTTACATTAGAGACAGACAAGAACTTTCACTACCTAAGAGTTTTCAGTGGCTGATGCCTTGAGAGGGAGAGCAGGAAGGATCCCCAAGATTAAAAATTTTCGGCAGCTGCTGCGAAGTTCCTGCAATCCCTGCCATGGGTTCAGCCTGCCACAAGCAGCTGGGACCCCCAGCCAAAGTGGGATGTGCCCCACCTTTAAACAAATTAAACCAAACAACAAAGACACAAAGCAACAATCAACAGAGACACTCTATGTACAATATTTACAGGTGCGCACAACCCACAGACAAGGGCTTCACACCATGATCCTTGTCTGTGCAGCCACAGAAACCTCAGAATGCCCTGCATTTAAAACCGATGGAAGCAGAGCAATGTGTCTCATCACAGATTGGATCAGACTAAGGGATTGGAGACCAGGCAAGGACCGGTGAAGGTCCCTTGCCACCCAGAGCTGATCAGGCTCATCCAGACTAGAGGCAGTAAAATGCCTCCCGTGCCATACACAGTACATGCTTCCTTACATGGAAGCCCAGACAACAGGCAGCAAGTGCTTCTTGTGCCACACAAAACGCTTGATTCTTCCTACAAAAACGCTTGATTCAACTTCAGTCTCAGGTGAGAGGAGAGGGATTGCTGAGGCTGCAGCTGGACCTCAGAACAGGAAATTCCTGGCAGGGCTGCAAATAAGAGTCCAGGTCTCAGCCCCAGGAACCCCCAGTCCAGGCGGCAAGTGGGATCCCCTGTACTCACCCCAGAGGAGTCTCGCACTTGTATCCCTTTGTAGTTACCAGAATATGTAACCGGACAACCAAGGGGTCCTTGCTGCCTGTCAGTGCGTGAGCCAATTCAGCAGAGACAGGGCTGCATCCTATGTGAGCGTTTATTCCAGTCCTGCCGGCAGCGTGGGAGGGCAGCAGGTCATCCACAGAAAGCTGCTCTGCAGCCCCATTAGCCAGCTGCTTGTATGGGGTCGGACAGGATTACATGGGAAGCAGGGACTGCAGGAGGGGAAGTAGGAGGCTGGGCGGGACTCCAGGGCCTGGGGGCGCACAACTCCCAGCCAGGTCAGAGTGTCCTTTCTTTAACCAACACAAGGCAGTCATGGCTAACGGACATTTCCCATAAGCAGAGCTGGTCCCACAATTCAATTTTTGCCCCTAACAGTTCCCGGAGGGGTGCCAAGGAGCGTAAGGCTGGAACTCGGGTTTGCGTCTGTCCTGCTGGTGGCCACTGCGCACAGCAATGCGGTGGGTGAGTTCCTCTCGCTGGAACCGGGAAGGCTCTGTATCTACACCCTGACGCACAGAGGCAGGGCAGCAGCTCGATGCCCGCGGCGGGTGAGGCACAGGTCGCCTTGGATGCGACTCTGGCGGAAGGAGGAGGACGCTGTGTCCTGGTGGGGCCAGTGCTGCACATTCACCCCAACAACACAGCAGTCGGACGTCACTGCGGCCCCACGGGATTCACCTCCAGCTGATGAGTCAAGGGTAATGGACACCGCACTGACCGGCCGGCCAAGCAATCCTCCCGAGACGGCAGAGCAGGAAAGTAGCGAATGTCAGCCAGTCAAATAAGAAGAGGGGGGAATTGTGAGAACAAACAAGTCACCTCCCTGTCACAGGAGAGAGTGTAGGCAGCCGCCAGCTTGCCCGCCATTTTGAAATGGCCGGGGTCCACCCCTCCCTTTGAATCAGCCAATCACGTGAGAGGGGGAGCCTAAGCTCCTCCCATCAAGAGTGAAGACAGATCACGTGTGTCGGGCATGACCCTGTGTGGACTGTGCTTCCAGCGGGCGCCCAGCCCTGCGCGCCTCCTGCAGGAGGAACTGGTCGCCCGCTGCGGGCTCCCAGCCCCGAGCGCCCCGCCTGCAGGGGGAACGGGGTCGCCCGCTGCGGGCTCCCAGCCCCGTGCGCCCCCCCTGCTGGGGAAACGGGGTCGCCCGCTGCGGGGTCCCAGCCCCGTGCGCCCCGCCTGCAGGGGGAACCGGGTCGCCCGCAGCGGGCGCCCAACGCCCTGGGTCTTCAGGACCCGGTTGGGCCACCTGACTCCTGACTGGGGACGAGGCGGCACTGTGTGGATCGCGACCACGTCTGTTACCCATGGCGGAGCCACACATCAGACCGCACCATGTACTACCCTCTCACTCTGCGTCCGCGGCTGGGTTCCGTGCCGACCGCCCTGCTGTCCTGAGCCGCTGCTGGCCCAGGCGCCTCCTCGCAGGTGGGCTGGCCGGGCGGCTGAGGCTTCCTCGCATCTCGGGCCTCAGCTGGGGCCCAGGGGCGTTCTCCGCGGCACCTGCCCCTCTCAGCCTCGGGGAGGCTAGTTCCACAGCAGAAGAGGGTGGCCCTGCCGCACAGCGTTCCCAAGCCTCTCTCTGCATCACGTTTGCTGGTGTCTGACGGGCCAAAGCAAGCTCCATCCGCCCAGCCTCCGGGTGGGGACGCCGGCTGGACCCTGGCAGTCCAGCGAGCCGGTGCGGCCAGCGAAGGCAGCGTCCACACCGCGGGGCCAAATGGCATCAACTCCTGGGCACTTGAAGTGTGGCTTGTGTAACTGAGACCCTTAATTTCCATTTTAATTGATTTTAGCTTAAATGTCAATAGCCAAGTATGGCTGGTATTTGCCACATTGGAGAGTTCAGATCTCACCATTGAGTCACCTCTGGTAAATTCCAGCCAAAATGTTTGTCATGACGCCATCAGTCCTGCTGACCTGGCTTCCAGTCCCGAGGACGGGTCTAGGAATAAGCTAGCTGGTGCGACACGGACAGCCAGGCCCATCTAGACGGCAAAACAGTCCACAGCCCAGCTGGCCTCTGCCTCCCACAAGCCAGTGCCATGGCGAGGGGCTCGGAGAGGTTGAAGAGAAAAGGGCCGGGCACTCAGATGGGTTTCTTCACAGGATTCCTGGATAGGACCAAACAGTTGCAAGGATGCTTTTTAGCTCAATTTGAGAAATTTGAATATGATGTAGCCATTCAATGGCATGAAAATGTACTGAAGTAGAAAGGTAAAGATCATTGACTAAAAAAGGTTAAGCTTTAGAACAGTAGACAGTGTAATCTCATGTTGGTAAAGGAGAACACATAAAATATATGTGAATATAAATACAGGTATAATACAGACATATAAAGGTTCAGAAGTATATGCACTAAAGTGTGAGATGTGACTCTGAGTGATAGGAAGGTAGATTTTGCCTGTTTGTGTTTCTAATTTTGTATGCATGTAAATGTGCTGCTTCTATAATAGTAAAGGTATTATTCATGCACTCAGGGGGTCCCTCAGCCCAGCCCGTGCCCTCTCACAGTCCGGAAGCCCTGAGGGATGTCCTTAGCGCTGCCACGGAGACGGGAGAGGCTCCGGCCACCACTGCTGAGCTCACCAGCCATGAGCCCGGCTTCTAGCTGAGCAGCGCTTCACCTGTGGGAGAGTACTGACCACCAGGGGGCAGCTCCTGCATTGAGCATCTGCCCCCTGGTGGTCAGTGTGTGTCATAGTGACCGGTCATTCTGCCATTTGGTCAATTTGCATATTAGCCTTTTATTACATAGGACTAGAGGCCCAGTGCATGAAAATTTGTGCACTTGGGGGTTGGGGCGGTCCCTCAGCCCAGCCTGCACCCCCTCACAATCCAGGACCCCTCGAGTAGGGTCCATAGGCCTGGCCTGAGATCAGGGCCTATGGGGCTTTTCTTCCCCTGGCTGCATGCAGCTGGCCCCACCCCCACCGCTGCCACTGCTTGCCATCTGTGCAGCACTGCCTCCCTCTCTCCTGCCACTGGTGGCCTCCCTCTGCAATCAACAGGCGTGGGGTTCAATGGCTTGGCTGGCTTGGACCTCCCTCTGCAGGGTAATCGTTGGCCGGCTGCCCACCTGCCACAGAGTCACCGCCAGTGGCCTGGGCCTCCCTCTTTCTTTGCTGGGGGGCGGGGCCAGCTCTGCGAGGGGCTGTCTGCCTACCTGATCACTCCTAACCACTTGCCTGCCTACCTGATCACCCTAATCGCTGGTCTACTTACCTGATCACCCCTAACCACTCTGCCTGCCTACCAAATCACCTCTAACCACTGGTCTGCTTACCTGATCACCCCTAACCACTCTGCCTGCCTGCCTGATCACCCCTAACCACTTGCTTGGGGGTGGGGCCAGCCCGGCGAGGGGCCATGGTGGTTTTGATCTCTGGTGTTATGCTTATGGTGGCTGGCCTTTTATTAAATAGGATGATAGACACTATGTGTCTAGCAGTTGCCAAAGATAAACAGCCATTATAGTGTGTGTGTGTGTGTGTGTGTGTGTGTTCATCATGATAACATTGCAAATATTTCCTGCAGACAGAGAAAGACTCCAGGGCTCTGAAGCTGCTGAGAGGCTGAGCTAATCTTAAAGGCCTGGTGGATGGATCACTTCTTCCTGAGCCACAGAATCCTCGGTGTCAAGCTGGACCAGCCAGTCAGCATGTCTCATCGAGTGGCGTGTTCTAGAGCATTCTAGTATGAATCATTCATAGAGGCTTCTAGTTAAGTTGCTTGGTTTTCCTCAGAAATAATGGCCCCAGGGACTGAATGCCACATGACAGAGGACATGAATAAATTGGTTCAGGCCCTGCCAGATGTTGAACAAATAGGAATATATCACAGGAAAAATGCTCCATCTATAATTAATGACAGCATTTTAAAGCTATACCAGAAATTGATAACAGTGCTTTCTTTGAATGCAACTTTCCCTTTAGTGATGTGCACATATTTTAAAATAGTTCTAATATTAAATATGCATTAAACTCTTATAGAAAATGTAACCACTGAATAGAAAAATATAATATTTATAAATGTCTTATTGTCACCCTTTATGCAGTTATTCACTCTGGGTGTACAATGTAGAAGTTTCAAGAACATAATGTTTATTGCACAAAGCCTGTTTAAGACTACCAAATAAAAAGCAAATTTATGGCTGCAGATTTTTTTTACAACTTTTTACATAATTGTCAAATTGCTGCTGTCATAATAAAAAGCAAGATTGCCACTAGTTTGTTTTATAATTACTTGGCTATCTTTTAAAATAAACATCATCATTTCTAAGTTACAAGTCCATTTTGGTAGCTAAAGCTTTCAAGCAGTCAACTGAATAATTAACTAGCAAGTCAAGAGCTTTTATTATCCCCCCCAATCCACCATTGAGCATGTGTGTGGAACAAATGGATACCTTCCTTTTTGAGACCCGTTAGGGAGAAAGGAGAATTTTAAAACTCTTATAGTCTAGCAAATAGCAGTTGTTCAAGTGTTACATTCTATCAGATAAAATTAAGTGAATCCAAGTTCTCTTCTCATTTGTATACTTTATGTCTTTGTTGGCATTCCTTATTCTGAGACACAATAGGCTGCCACACCTGGCCCCTGAGTTTCCAAAGCATTCAGTCATCACTCTACCGCCTACCTTCTATTAGTGCCGTTTCCCCTTAACTCTGGTAGTAAACAAAGCTTCAACGGATTCAGAGAATCTCTTCTTTTCTACAGTCTGCTACCACCAGCATTGTTATTAAGTCTGGCAAATGACACACAATATGATGTTTTGATTATAGACAAAGAATGATAGTGATTTTGTAATATTTTGCTCTTCACCATTATATTTACACAGAGCCCTCTCAAATTGCTTGTCCAGGATCCACCTACAATGTTTATTGAGCACAGTCATTTACAATGTATTTCATCTAAATGAGGAGGGTGGGAAGCATCATAGGAGCTGGACAGTATAAGTTGCATATATTCATTTATTTTATGTATTTGTGCTGGCAATATGCTAAGCATTATGGTAGGTGTTATGGACCCATGGGTGAACAATGCAGGCATTCACAGAATTTACAACCTGCCAGGGTAATAGCAGATATTAAAAATGTAATTAATAAATTAATCAACTAACTTCAATCATGAGAAGTGATATGAAGGAGAAAAATAGATGCAAGAAGTATGTAACACTGCATCTGACCTGTCAGGGCACAGGTGGTAGCAGCTGCATTCGGGGGGTCTGTTAGAAAAGGTAACTAAATACAATTCAAGCAGATGACTAGGAGGAGTTAGTAAGTGAAGAACAGAGAGAGTGTTACAGACAAGGGTGAGCAGCAACTGCAGAGGCCTTGAGATGGGAAGGGACACGACAGATGTAAGAAGAGACAGAAGCCAGATGTGGCTGACATGCAGGGAACAAAGGGAGAATGACACAGAGCAGGCTAGGGACATGGTGCAGATCAAATACAAGGTATTGAGTAGATTGGATGATCTGGGCTTAAAGTTGGATAAAAAGAACAGATAAATAGTGCACCACTTTAGCAAGAAAAAAACAAAACATCTCGTCAATGGTGTTTGAGCAGCGGTGTGTAGCCAAGTTGCATGCAGGTGTCTAGAGACAGGGTGCCCAGCTCAGAGGGTTCACAGAACCCTGCCCAAGGGGCTTATGTGCCTAGAGGTAGGAGGACAAAAGGAAATTATAGTTGAGACACAACTATTTGATGAGAGGGTGGATGAATATTGTGGGAAAGAGGAATTAAAAATAAGACTAAGAATATGAACCTCATACTGATGGCACTGCTTAGCCAATACCTAATGGCAGGTTGTGGATAAATATTCTAGCTTGACAGAACATGTTCTACACTGTTC